TTCCCTTCTGCTCATCTCTCTTCTTCTTTCTGAACATATGCTCTTAGAACCCAGTTGCTATGTACTCTATGAGTGTAAGCATGATAACTCCTCTGAGGTCCAGCTGACAGTAAGCATCAACAGCCAGTTAGACATGTGGGTGAGGATGCCTTTGGGAAGACTCCAGCTTCAGCCCCCCTCTGAGCACAACCATGTAAAGGACCCTGGGTAAGAATTATCTGTCTGATCCTGCTGGCTCCCAGAATCATGAGAGATAACAAATACTCTTTAATATTTTTATGCTATCCATTTGGAGTGTTCTGTTTCAAAATAGTGATTTACTGATACACAAAGGGAATCATGGATATTTTTGTGCGTTCTCCTAACAATTTTGGAATTGAGGTACAGAGACCTTAAATCAACCAGCCATAAAGGTCCAACAGAGAAGGTCATGCAGACTTAATTGCTGGTGGAGTTATTTCAAACAGGTTTAAACATGAGAAGAGCTACATACATAGAAATGAAAATTTCATACAGAAGGAAATCAAGAAAGGAGGGGGAGAAGGAGAGGGCATAGACAGAGAATTGTCAAGGTTTGAATGACTTTCTACTGAGCTTTTGTAAGTTGATTACACTATATATTCAAGCCTTATGCACTGTTTAATATCCCATAATAATTAGAATAATTATATTATCATTATTTGTATCAAATAATTTATTTTTCTCCTTCTTTCTTTTCTTCTTCTTCTTCTTCTTCTTCTTCTTCTTCTTCTTCTTCTTCTTCTTCTTCTTCTTCCTCTTCCTCTTCCTCTTCTTCTTCCTCCTCCTCCTCCTCCTCCTCCTCCTCCTCCTCCTCCTTCAGTTATAGGGAATCGAACTTAGGACCTTGCACTTGCCTGGCAGGAGCTATGCCATTGGTTATGTTCCTGTTCCTTATTTCTTGCCACCGATGAGTCATGAATAAGAAAACCACTAACTAATTTGAAATGAAAGTTGGCATACTACTGGTTTCATAGGCTTCAGTTGCAAGAAAAGTTTACCTGACTTAAGAAATGAAAACACTTTGATAGTTTTGTTGGGTTCAAGGCAACTTTTGTTTCTGTAAACCCCCAATCTTTAACTCTAAACTCGATTTTGATGTTTATGGATGCTGCTGGTTGGCTCTTTCCTCGTCTCCATCTTCCTGGAACATGGTAGAATCACATTTCCTGGCCTCTCTATGATAGAGTTAACTTTGTGGCCAGACATGTGAAATGTGAGTAGGAATGATATCTGTCCCTCTGGGTTGACTTTAACTGTCTTAATCAGACCTTCGAGTATTCTGTCTTTCTCTTGCTGTGGTTACAGGTAACACTGCCTACAGGGGCTGATCCACTTGTTTCTGTGCCCTTGAGGAGGTTCGGCAGAAGCTTAGCTGATCCACAATACAGCAAGAGTGAAAAAGAATCCTTTGCTGTTTTAGGGAGAATTAGAAGTTGTGACCATGGCATAATACAGCCTGTTCTTTATGATTTAATGGGTCCTCATCATATACTACTAAGGAGATTGGGACCATGCAGGAAAACCTCTCTGAATGACCCTGTCTTCTTGTCTGTCAATGATCCCTGCTTGCCTTCCTAAAGTTTCAGGGGTATCTTTCTCTCCCCTGCTCTACTCCTGTGCCTAAGGGAATAGCTCCTTCTTGGTGTCCATGCCTAATCCTTATTCTCCTTTCCCTTCAAATTTTGATGCATTTAATTTTGTGCAAATTTTCAAGACTCCCATTTAACCTAATGAGGTTACAAGTCATGTAGTTTCTCATCTATAAGACCTGTCTATACTTTATACACCCTGCCCCAACTCTCTGAATACTTACTCCTCTTCAATTTATTTTTGTTCTAATCTCTTTACTAAAGCTGTTGCCTGAAATCATCAGACTGCAGAGAGCAAGACCCCTGTCATTCCCAGATTGTCTTTATTCTTATCGTATGACTGAAGTTTCAAAATCATAGGTTTTTATCTTTAATGTGCAGAATGTCACCTCAGCAGCTTCTTAAAATGGAAATTAGAAGTCCTGCTACTTGAGATTCTGATTTAGAAAATCAGATGAGCGTGGCAAGTCCACACTGCACTAAGTTTGCTTGAAGTTGTTGCTCTGTGAATTGCATGTTTGAGGAACACTGGTTTAGATGATGGTTTTGAGTTTTCTGCACATCTAAAATGAAGATCAACACAGAGAAAGTCTTTACCATGATTTCTGCACTCAAACAGCAGGAACAGCTTTTATGAATGGACCAACAGAAAATCTCCACAGTATGCGTAATTAGGAATGAGGGCATGTGTCTGTGCTACGTATTTCTGCAATTTAGACTTGGGTTGAGATTAATCCTGGTTTAGAAACTAAAGACATTCATTTTATTTTTGAGATGGATTGACCCTGAAACACATTTGAGCTCTATTTCTAAAGGCCAGACAGTAAAATAACAGACTGTTGGAGAAATTTCTGAGAAAATTTACTCTTTGGGATTTCTTTGACAGCCAACTTGATGATTTTGGGAAATCACAAGAAATCAAGTCAAACAGAAGAGATATTTTTCTGAAGATCTTGTTCAGTATTTTTGCCTCCATATTTCCATCTTGGTGACACAGAGTGCACACACTGGCAATGGGGAAGATAATATCTTACAGGGGAAGGTCCAGGTGACCTTGATGGTCATTGCCATTCTTTGCTCTTGCTTTACACTTCTGCCACAATCAATACCAGTAAGCCCATCAATTCCTTGAGAAGTTTTAGGGGCTGGGGATTTAGCTCAGTGGCATAAGCACCTGCCTTGCAAGCAGGCAGTCGTGAGTTCGATCCCCGGTACTGATAAAAAGGAAAAAGACAAAAAAAAAAAAAAGTTTTAGCAAAGCCACAGAAACTATAGAGACTAAAGCACAGACGTATTTTAGAGATTGACTTGTTGGTCGATTCATTTTGTTTCAAATGAAAACAGTAGATTTGAAGAGACGTAAGTTTCTCAAGGTCATATAATGAAGAAGGTCTCTTGACTTCTGGTCTGGTGTTCTTCAAATGCATTTTATTTGCTGGAATGGGAAAGCTGAGATGGGCAGAACCAAGGAAGACAGCAGGGTGAATACTAATAAGCTCTTCCTGCCTCCTAGAATTCCAGACATAACTTGGATATTATTCTGTGATCATTAAATTATAAATCATCAAACATGAGGCCTGGGTTGGTGGTTCAGTGGTAGTTACCTCCCATGGAGGATTCCATCCCCGGTCTATCCTATTTCTCGAATGTTACAGATGAGCAAACCAAGACTCATGCTCTGGAGATGACCCACACATTTATCAGATAAAACTTACCAGTTTCCTTTCTGAAATTTTCAGGACATTGTTTTTCCAAGCTCTGCTCCCAAACCTTTTAGCTTTTTCCATTCATGCCATTTAAATCTCAAAGGGGCATTTCTTTGGTATTCTTAGTCTCTGAAAGACAATCTTGTCAGCTTCTCTCTAAAAGTTGTGAGCTTTGTCCTTAAGTTCAGCCAGACAAAGAAAATTAGTACATAAAGTAACACCTTAGGTAAGAAAGTACCCAAGATTTCTTGGTCTTATTGATCAACTTTCTTTGGTCTAGGATTATTCATGATGGTATTTTGAAACTTCATCTGTTCAGATCTTACCAATTTGGAATTAGAGGCAGTTGTGACAGAGACTAAACTGAGGTTTACCTTTGAGAGTCCAAGAGGAAAAGTTGAACAAATTGTTGCAGTTAATGATATTTAAAGGAAATATTTTGACTATTTAAGAAGAGTCCTTTGAAGTATTTTAGATGATTCTTATCTGTAGAAGGGAGATCTCCAGAAAGTTTTGCAGCTTTGCTTCATTTCATTATAATTATTATTATTACTATTATTATTATTTTGTAATAGTAGGGATTGAACCCTAGTTCTCACACACCATTAGGCAAGAACTCTACTAGTTAACTACATCCTGAGCTCATCTGAAAATTTCTCTTGGGGAATATGTTTTAATCTAGTCACTCCATGTACATGTAAGCATCATATACTACTCAAAAACAACCTTCCAGGATTATAAATACAGTGACAAAGATGCAAAGGCTCTAGTAGTGATAGTTGTAATGAATAAATATGCATCAGAACTGGCGTGCTCGTGAGATCTAGTGCACCAGGGTGGTAAGGCAGGTTGTAGTTAGGGAATTAATGCCATTGATAACAGCGAATACATGTGTTTTTAAATATAAGACCCCAATGCATCTGAGGAAGATTTTATTTCCAAAGGAGTTAGAAAGTTTGGAAGAGAGTATTACTAAGGATGGATTCTAGAAACCATGGAGGAGCTGAATTGGGCAGGGGGTGGTTTAGTGAACCATCTGGTTGAGCAACCCTGTGTTTACTCAATCTGCATCCAGGTTCTGGTGGACAAGACGTAACCTTAGTGCTAAAAGTGAACATGAGCCAAAGAATATAAGTCAAGTCCTGAGAAACAGAACTCCAAATGGAAATCACTTTTCAGGGTGCAATTTGACTCTCTGAGTGGAATATTTAACCACTGTTTCTCTGAATAACTCTAGTAACGACTGAAATTAAAATCACATTAAATCAGATCTAACGCTTTAAGGTGATGTAATGGTGCTGGGGTAGAGAAGTGTGTCTAGAACCTTAAGAACTTCCAATTCTGCTGTGGATGGGTATAGTTTTTCCAGTGGTGTTTGTTTTTGGCTTTCCTCCCTACACAGCTTCTGTTCCTCATTTTTTAATGTACTAGTAAAATTTATTTTGTAACCATAACATGAACCCACTGGAAACTTTGGTGTACACTTTCATGGTTACAGTTTTGTAATCACCACCAAGGTCCAGTTTTAAAAGATTTGCATCACCCCACAAAATCTTCCTCATTTCTGCTCCCAGTCAGTCTTCGCCTCCACTTTCAACTTCAATGGTCTCATACATTCTTTTTTGCTTTTTAATTACCACTAATTTAGACTCAGTAAGTCGGTAGCTATTTTCAGAGACACAAGTTATGTTGAAACAGCTTTATTTTTTTTTAATCCATAAATATCTGTTACTGACAAAAGTGGAAAAATCCTTAAGACTAAATCTTACTAAAGTGATATGGGTTTACAGTACATATAGAATGTGCTTTGACAGGAAAGGGTGACAGTGAGATTTATACAGGAGCATGACAACAGCGTTGCTCGTTGTGAGCTTACACGAGTAATGAAGAAACTGCCCAGGTACAGATAGAAAGGTAATTTTCATCAATGCTACCATATATAATAAACATGGAATCCATAAATTGGGCTAATGCATAAAAATGTTCATTAATTCCCCTTAGGAAAGTGTGTCCCCAAACTAAAAATATTATAGTAAGAATTGCTTTTGATTAGAGAATTTCAAGAATTCTTTACTACAAAATATCTAGTTGTGTTATAGAACTAGAGGAAATTTTTTTTTCCACTACAAAGCAAATGAGTGGGTCCTGCATTCAAGGGTCACTGCAGGATGGGCAGAGAAGCTAAGCAGGGTCTTCTCTCCCCTCAGCAGGAAGGGTATTAAGGAAACACACGGTGTCCTTTTCTGAGTGATGAAAGGTTAATATGCTTTCCGATTTACAAGATGGGTTTTGATGATACCGACTTGGACTCTCCATTTCTTGCTTCAAAAGCCTTCACTGGGAGGGCAGTCATGTCATAAGGAGGGGATAGAAAGATACTAGGATGGAGTGGGTGCCCACCTCCTAGCAGCCCAGGTTGGGTGCCTCCTCCTCTTCAGGTGGAATGGAGCCTTGTGTCCAGTCTCGGTGTTCTGGAGAACATTCCAGAGTGGGATACAATATCATCTTTGCCACATGGAACCTTTGCCAAGAATGCATCTCTGAGGGTTGGACTGTGTTTTCCAGCTGTCCTGAGATACAAACTCCACGTCCAAACTTCTTGGCTGAACTTCAATCGTTCTTTTCCAGTCCATCCCCTCTCTGAAATTGGAACTGCCTCCCTCCAGCTTTAATAAGGACCACATCAAAATGAAAACTCCAAACTCAGGATTTCCTAGTGACACAGACAGCTAGGTGGCTTAGGTGTGTCTGCCCGAGAGGCCTCGTGACCCATGGTGGCTGTCATGCTGAATGGTCAGGCCCTTAATCATCAGCATCCACGGGTGACCAAGACCATCAGACCAACTCCAGGCTCTGATGAGGAGTCTGGTGGCTATGTGGGGTGTCTGAGGATGTTGTCGTAGGGGGCAGGCATAGGTGGGGGCGTGTGCAACTCATCTGAGGTGGGGAAGAATATGGAAAAAAGACAAAGGTTGCAGATGAGGAATGAAAATCCTAGAGTGTGAGAGTTGAGTGAAACTTGGAATCTCATGTAACTGAAGCCCCTCATTTTACAAATGGGGATACTGAGGTACCGAGCTGGAATGTGAATCCTCTTGGTCACATTGTAGGATAGAGACAGCGCCAGGCCTGGAAGCCATGTCTCCAGAGCCTCAGCCCTGTACCTTTTTCTCCTTGAGTATGTCACCTTCCAAAATCAAACACAGAGCCCAGGAAGGTTAACCTTTCATACTGCATATACCATTAAAATGCTTCATTTTATAAAAAAATAACATTTAACTCCCTAAAATACTTCACTGAAACACAACAGGCTTCCTTAAACACAATCATGAGCAAAGTTCCCCGGGTTAGGGGAGGATCACAGGAATGCATGTGTAGAAGGTAATGAGCCAGCTCTTCTCAGAGCAGGTGCCTTCTAGGGTCCATGGGATTTGCAGCCCTTTCAAACTGTTACCTTGTGTCAAGTCCACGGTTGGCTATGGAAGGAATCAGGGTAGGAGGAAGATGCTGGACAGGGTATCTCTGAAGGAGATGGATTGTTTGGTGGCAGGGGCGTTGGGATGGGTACTCTTCCATGCTTGGAGAGTCCTGACGCCTTCAAATCTTCTGAGACAAAGCAGTAACTGTGCGGAGATTCGTGGGAAGGGGGAGTGGGTGGCGAGAGTCCCCCAAGCTATAAAAATTTGGCTGGAGCGGGAGCCTCTGGGCTAGTAGCAGACTGGGCCAGGAGCTTCAGGGATTTTGCAGGAGTAGGAACCAAAGCTGATCTTTTGGCTGTAACACCTCCAGCCCAGCAGCCTCTCCTTTCCCTCCCAAGGGTCAAAGGGGGAAATCCCCTGGCATCATACCCTAGAATACCAACTCACAGGTATGGGAATTGAAAGATAAACCAGAGAGACAACAGAGGATTTGAAGAATGTCTGGTTTTTCTACAGGTTTCCTCCAGAACCCTAATTCTGAAAACTAGAGACTACAGCAGGACCAGGAAAAATAAATTTGGGATGAAGGAAGGTAAACAAGGAAACAGAGGACAAGAAGAAAAGCCGGAAGCGGAAGTGACAGAGGAAGGGGAGGAACTTTAGCCTGGAGGAAGTGGGAACTCTCTAAGAGACGCAGACCTGACTCCCAAAGGGGTCCCTGAGGGTAGAAATCCATTTAGGAGCTTACGGGATTCTTGCAAAGCCTTTGTGACCATTGAGTGCTTAGACCCAAGAACTCACTAGAAGAAGCAAAATTTTCAGGGAAGGAAGGACAGGGGCACAGAGAGCTCCCAGAAGGACATCCAAGTCAGGGAAAACCTGTGCAGAACCCAGTCCATTCCTAGCACAGCAACGGGGGAACAAAACGAGAAGAGGAAAATCTTGGGCTTTAGGATTCTTTTGCTAGGGACAGGTGTCCTTTAGGAGGGAGGAATGGACCTTCTATGTGTGGCAGAGGCCACCAGCACGGTTGGGCTGGAAGCTGTGGTATCTGGGTTCCAGAGCCAGGGGACAATTACATCAGTATACTGTGACTAAAAACAAAGCTACATGAATATGCTCTCAATGTTTTAGTCTGGGCAAATATTACTAGTTTTGGACCGTGACTACTGCAAGCAACTGAAAGAGTAATACAAAACTGTGACTAGGGGGTGATTACTGTCCCTTCATGTCCCAGTTAAGACACAGTTTTCTGGGTTTTGAAATGGGATGTGAACTGGAGCGAGTTTGTAGGCTTATGTCTTTATCTCTTTTTATCTTTCTTTCCCACCATCCTCCTTTTTCTGTCTCTCCTTTTCTTCACTCTAGACCTCAGGCTGAAGCAGAAGAAATCCTTCGCAAGGAATAAGCATCCCGACTGATGATTCAACTGAGGAAAGACATTTTAAACCTGACAGTGGTAAGACTTGGCAATGAAAACTAATTTGCAATCAACCTATCAAACAAACCCTGAGACAGACAGAAACACACCTTGCAGGAGAGAAGGCTGGGGCAGGGAGCCCAGGGAGAGATTCCCCTGAGGGCTGGAGAACCTGGAAGAACAGAGGATGTTTTGGTAGGATCAGACAGGGCTCTGGTTTAGCATGTAGTATACAAAGAGCCTGGGAAGAGATTCTCACCTGCCCGTGAGCATCCTTTCCTTTCCCTTCCCTTCCCCACAAGCGGGTGGTGTTCAGGGGAACTGGCCATGCGGTAGGGGTTCTGAGGGGTCTGGGGCCAGCTGTGAGACATCCTTTTGCTTCTATGCAGATCCATTTCCTCTCTTCACCTCCTTTAGTCTTACCTTCTGGAACAAATGCTCATAAACCCACGGGGACCAGCCCTTCAGAAGGTTTATGTGTTTGCAGGAAAGAAAGCAGAGGGCCTCAGTCCTTGTCTCCCAGCCTCAAGGTCCCTGGGACACTTTCCCAGTGGGGATGCTGAGGGCTTCAGTCAGACCCCCAATCTCTACCCCCTTGTGATTCATATGACCCAGTCCTGTTCAGGCTGGAAGGGGAGCTTTGGGGAGAGGAGGAGAGAGGTTCAGAACTGTTGAATCTGTAAGAGGAAGCAGTCCACTGGTTTTCTTTGTAGTTTTGGACTTGGTTAGGTTAAAAATTCCCAGGGCAGATGAGTCTTCCCCACCCTACCTTTTTAAAAGATTATCCATGTGGAAGTAAGGGAACATAAAATCCTCCTTAAAGGCATCGGTGTTGGAATCTGACTGGTGATGGTATGATTTTAGTATTACACTTTCATCCAATGGTCTGGAGCTGATTCCTCCTGGCCCCACATCAGAGAGATGTTCCCTATCCCTGAGGATGGGGGAGCCTCTTATGTCTCTTTCTCCAGTATTGTTGGGGGGTAAGGTGCTGCTGTGTCCACTGTTAGCTCCCCAGTGGTGGGAACACCTCCACCCCCATTTTTGAGAGAGAGAAGGTGCTGTGACGAGCTATCTTTGGGGGTCCCCTCACAGAGCTGAGGGTAGGCATGTATCTGACTGATGCTACAGTGCCCCCTGCAGGGAAGGACCAGTGAGCTGGGGAGGTGCCCAGTTAGCTCCCGAACCAGGAGCCTGGATCATCTGCATTTGTTCATCTGCATTTGCCAATGGGTCTTTGTTCCTTTGCTCCAGTGGTGTGAGAAAGGGCAGCCAGGGGTCAGTAATGGAACCAAGGACACAGGAGAAGATGCATCGCGGGGAAAGGGAAGGCAGGAGAGAAAGAGAGCTTGGTGGAGAAGGAGCTCAGGGAGCAGGCAGAAATGTGGAAGAGGAGCAGGTGGGTGCAGGACAGCCAGCCTCAGGAAGGTCTTCCTTGTTTGGGGCTGAGCGTCATCTCTCTAACAAGCTTCTGCTTCTGTCCTGCCTGAGCTGCATGGTGGGGGACAAGCAGAGCCTTGGAGGATGGGAATGGTGAGCCCCTGAGATCCCAGGCATCACAGTGACCCTCCCCACCCTGGCTCTTTCTGACCACAGCAGGCATACCTTGGGAACAGAGCAAGGGCAGGGAAGGCAGGCCCGAGTACTGGGCAAAGTTCAGACCTACAGGCCTGGAGGCAGTGGGGGAGATAAACAGGTGGTCAGGAGGTCTCCCCTAAGGTCCCTGCACCCCAAGAGTTAAAGCCTCAGAGAACTGGAGGGTAAAACAGAGAGGCTGGAGGAGCAAACTTTCCCCCATCCCAGGACCAGGGCGACATCAGCCAGCTGGAATGGGGCAGGGATTCCAGCAAGGGCAGGCAGCTGCGGGAGGGGAAGACTCCTTGTCCCACGGGGGGATGAAGAAAGGGCCAGGGTCAGCAAAGGAAGGGTCATTCACTTGGTGGAGACCAGAGAGTTCCAGCAGGCAGAAGAAAATCAGTATTGTGCTTATAACACAGCAGCCCTCTGTCTCAGAGAGCAAGCAGGTAGTGTTTAGGCACTAGAAGATTTCTGTGATGTGGTTCTAGGTAAATGGATAAGACCGAGTAGCCTATTTGGTCAGCCCACTGACTGCACCTACTGGCCTGTTCCAATCCAGACAGTTTTAGATCAGGGTCCGGTGAGGGTCTTTTAGCCGACAGAACCTGGGCAGAGTCCCCTGGATGGGGAGGAGGATGTGTGACTGAAGGGCATTGACGAGAGGGGCACGGTTACAACTGGGGTCCCGCCCTCTCCTTGCTCTGTTGGTTCTATTGAAGGGCAAAAGCAAACACTCTAAGTCCTGAATCTGCGTGTGTCGGACCAGGCCATGTGAGCAGGGGTGCGGTTTTCTGGACAAGGTGGCCCACCCCTACCTCCAACCGAGGAGACCCAGAAAGGGAAAGGGACAAGTAAAAGGCTGGCAGTTCTGCTCCTGACCCCTGCTCTGTTTTGCCCCACCCCACCCCGCCAAGTGCCCAGCTGGGCTCCACTGGTCACACGGTCACTTCCGTCTTGCTCGCTGTGTAGCAGGTGTGGTGGCCCGGGATATAGTGTAGCTGCTCCACGGTGTTGTGCCTGCGTGAGGCGAAGGCGTGGCGCTTGGCTGCTGTCTGGCTCTGGCCCAGGGTGGCGTAGGAGTTATTGGAGGCACTGGGATGGGAGTGCATCTTGGTCATGCGGTAGCGGTCCAGCACAGGCGTGGACACAAACACGTCCGTGTGGGAGATGGCCCTGGACAGGGACTGCTCGGGGAAGGCCGTCCGCTCTGGGGACAGCAGCGGGTCCTGGGAATGCAGACGCTCCGTGGAAAGCAGCTGCTCATCAGACAGGATGCGATCATAGGGCATGCCAAACTCATCCGGCAGACCCCGCATTGGGGACAAGACCCTGTCCTGGGACATGGCCCGGATAGGCCGGCGTGGTCTCTCCCGTGGTAGCGGCTTCTGCTGTGACATCTGGATGACGTTGAGTGGGAGGGTGCCTCGGGCTGCCAGGTCAGGCAGGTGCCTCCGCCTCATGTAATACTCATCAGCCTCCTTGTCAGCTGCAGAGGGAGGAGACAGAGAAGGAAATGGGGTGATGCCAGGGACAAGGCTTGGGGAGAACCCTGCAGCCCTACTGCAGCTGAGTCATTCACCTATAAATCTTAAAGGACAGCACAGCTAAACTCTTTTTGCTTATGGAATAGGACGTGAAGACTCAGATGCAGGTGGTGCTGCATGGCAGTATGCACACCAGTCCCTGGGAGCTTGTGAACTGCGGATTCTGATCCAGGGCCTCCAGGGGCTGCACCTCTAGCAAAGTCACAGGTGCTGTTCCTGGTCCAAGGACCACCTTGCGTAACAAGAGGTTAGGAGACCTCTTCAAGGTCCTGAGAGAGCTCACAGCAGAGGCAAAGACAAGCCCAGCTCTTGGGCTCCTCCCACACCATGCTGCATGCCCCACACCATGGTTCTGATATCTAATGGAACACCCAAGTAGCACTTGTAGTTTCTGAACAAGGCCTAGATCCCCCCTTTATGGAAGCTGAATCACAGAAGCAGCCGCCTGCTGGAATAGAGCAAGATGTTCTAGCTAAGAGGCTTTTTCGAGAAAGCATGCCTGGTAATTTAGGAACATAGTAACACCTTCTCTGGAGTAGCCGCCAGTGCACAGGAAGCTAATGCATGGGCATCTAGCCTCATACAACCATGCAGTCAGCCTACACATCCTGTGCCTGTGCCCACAGCACGGAAGTCTGGAAAAATCTGACACGTGAACCTTATTCAGACACTCCATTCTCCTCCCTATCCGGGCCTTCTCAAGCTCACACTGTTCTCTGAACTGACACAGGGTACACACAACCCTGCATTGCTCCAAATTTCAGCAATGAGGGTTCTTCTAGACAGTCCTCAAGATTTGTGCCAAGCTCCAAACCATTGCTTTCTTCTAAACTGGTACAGAGAAGCTACTGATGGGTATATTCTGGCTACTGACCCACATTTTCTCATCTTAGGGCATCAATCAGGTTTCTCAGGTCAAGAAGCCCACTTCCTTCCACAGAAACTCAGTGTTCTACTATGGGGATGGCTGATGTGAGGTTGGGCTGATCCTCTGTTAGGGTACATTACCTTGCAAGATTGGGTTTTAGTAGAGTTCATGGTCATCAAAAGAGACCCATGAAGAAATTTAGGGAGAAGGCCCAAGGGTCACAAGTCCAAGAAAGAAGAGTATATTCCTCAGTGTATATTTTTGTTGACATTTTAGTGTCTTAAACCCATCAAGATCCACCCACTCCCAAAAACTCAAGTGAAAGAGGAGGGATCCCTGATGAACCAGAGTACATGCATGGGAGATTGGAGTCTCAGGTTCTCAAGATGGCGTTGGCTGAGTTGGAGCAGGAGCAGACTTACAGGTCTCAAAACAAGTTATGGACACTGGTAACCATTATTCTAAAATTTGACATAGAGCAATGGGAGCCCACGGTCTGCAGAAGGCAGGTGGTAAGGCGTGCAGGACTGGGGAAAGCTGTCTCTTACAGTTGAACTGGTGCAAGAGTCAAAGTGCTGCCTCTAGTGCAGATCTAAGAATCTGTAACCTCTCTCTATGGGAAGCACAGATTCAGGCCTCAAAGAATAAAAGCAAGAAATTTGCATATACTCTTCTTCCTACACACAATTCACTCTTTGTTCTTGGAATTGAACACCTGTTCCCTTGGGGACAGGACAAGAGAGAGAAACAGCCAGAGAAAGATTCCTTGTAGACATCAGGGTCCCTGGGAGGAACCTGGCTTACTTAGCCTCTTCAGAGATGAGTACTTGCTCGGATTGGTCTTCACTGCAGACTCATAGGATGGGGGCAGGTGGGCCAAGTTCTGGAAAGAGCGGGAGAAGGAGAGGTCATAGGGCTCCGTGGCTGATGTCAGGATGTTGTTCATCCGGGGCTTCTCTGCAAGAAAAGGGGAGGGGCGTGTTGCATTAGTGAAAGTTTGGAGAGAGGGGTGTCCCGGTTTTCTCTCTGTACTTTCTGACCCATCCTTAACTAGAATCCACATTCCGGGTTTCCCAGCCCTCTGTGCAAGGACACGGGATATGTGGCTGACACAGTTTCCCTCCTGCTCAAATCTAGTTGTTAACAGCCTGGGGGCAGATGCTGTTTTAGCTGTCCCTGATCCCTCCCCAGGAGTCTTTAGACAGCAACTCAGACTTGAATGCAGATTATCGCCCCAAGTCTATCACTGAGTTATCTGATGATACTAAATAATTGAGAAGCGTTGTAAAATCATCTACTTCTGTGCAAAAGTGCTATCCATCTCCTAATAGTTGTAGGAAAACCTCTCTCTCACGCTCAGACAAGCCCAACCCTGAGGAACTGTATTGCTTTTTGTACACAGAAGAACTTAGTCCAAGACCAACTCTTCCGCCACCCTAACCCACACTCTATCCATGATTTATTCCCTTTGCTGGGCAGCTCCTACTGAGAACCTTCAAGCTCCACACCTGACAATTCCCTGTGAGCCACACAGCCAATGTATCATACTTTAATTCCCTTCTCAGAAGACCCGAGTCAACTCTAAGCTGGTAGAGAAAAGTGCTTATCACCCACTTCCTATTTTCCCCTCTCCCCGAGCCACAGCCTTGAGATTCCAAAATCAGAGGAGACAATGGAATCTTATTCAGTGCCAGACCTGGGGAAAAAAGATGTCACGAGGAATGGAAAACAAGGTGAAAGGGAAGTGAATGAGTGATTCCTGTGGCATCATGCAGAGTGACCCGGGCTGGGCGGGGGGTGGTGGTGTGCCAGATTAGGGATAACACAGGAGAGGGGACACATGACCTGGTGAGGCTTGGTGGCCAAAATGGGGATCATGGAGGAATGAAGACCCAGGAAAGCAAGCTTTGCTGTTTGATAGATGAGCAGAGAGGAGCCACAAAAAGAACTCAACAGGTGGGTGCTGGGGGAAATTATGGTATCATTCCCAGCAGTGCGGTAGGTGGGAGGCTGCTTTGGGCTGGGTCATCCTTCCATCCTCTCTAGTTGGGACACTTCAAGAGCAAAGAAGACCCTAATGTGGGGACAGATGTGTAACTGGACCTCTTATACCTCTAGGCAAGGAGTGCTAAATAATGGAACACAATTCTGTGCACCATGGGAAAGAGGGAAGCCCTTCTGGGCCTCATGCAAAGGCACCCTAGGAACAGGGAACCCCTGTTTTCTCTATTCCTCTCAGTCTGCACTGTCATCCCCAGAGCTGGGGACTGAGCCAGGGGATCTCAGCCAATATGCCGGTGCTCACACCAGCTCAGTACATATGTGAGGGGGTGGGGGCTTGTCTGCATCCCAGTGATCAGAACATGCTGTACAGAAAAATCCTCCGTGGCAGGGACCATGACAGATGCCAGGAAGCAAAGCAGGCAGGGACCTGGGAGCAATGCTCTTTCCACTTGGTTAACCGCCACCGATGCCTTAGCTATGGCTTTTTAACTTCTTGCCATGTTGGTGAACAGACTTCCTTCTGCCTGTAGACATCATACTTCCAATGAAGGCATTTTCTCACCATTTCTGGATACTGTTGTCGGACTAGTATTATTTTTTGTTTGTTTTGTTTTTTAACACACTGCCAAGTCAAATCCAGGTCTTTCTTCCCTTCTCCATCAACCAAGACTCCCACTATCCCCCAGATCAAACTCTTCCTCTTATTGAAATATCTTCCTTTTCCTTTCTGCTATCAAATTTTCCTTTTTACTCAAAGAGCTTGGCTGTGACCGTCCCACATCTCTTCAGCCCATACAATATCTGCAGTTCCGGCTCACACTGCTCTTCTTGTAAGTTGCACTCAATTTAATTTCTAATAATTTGACCCGAGTCAGTCTTGTCATGCTCTAAAGATTGCAATGCCCTTGATTGCACAAATCTTGTTCACTTTTTATTTTATCACTACTTCTTTCCTCCTGTTTTCCCACTCACTTTCTTTTCTCTTTTTTCCCTGTCCTCCTATCCTTTCTTTCTTTCTTTCTTTCTTTCTTTCTTTCTTTCTTTCTTTCTTTCTTTCTTTCTTTCTTTCTTTCTTTCTGTCTGTCTCTCTCTCTCTCTCTCTCTCTCTCTCTCTCTCTCTCTCTCTCTCTCTCCTCTCGGGGCCCCATGAATGCCAGGGGAACACTCTACCACTGAGCCGTACCACTAGGCCTCCCGTTTTGATTGTTGCATATTGCATGGACCAAAATAAGGATGCTCCATGCTCATCAAGGAGACACAGGCTTCTTCCTCTCTTAATCCTGGCCCCTCCAGTTCCTCGTGGGGAGGGGTAATATCCAAGAAGGGAATGCAGAGAAAACTGTTCTTGATGCACTGAAGCTTATGCACCTTCATCTTCTTGTACCAGTTGTAAAGGAAAAGATAAGAAGAGAAAAAAAAGGAAAAACTGGTTTTTTCTTTTGTATTCAGGGGTTTGTATTTGTGTTGCTCCGTCTGGGGAAACCAGCTCCGCAGTTGTTCTTTCCGGATTGTTACTGAGCAAGTGTGGGAGCCCTCCTTGCTTGTCTTTTCGGGCTCCTCCTCCTGGCACTTCATCACCATCGGCATCCCCGGCTCCCTGTTCCTGCCTTCTGCCTTGCTCCTCAGGATCCCTGCACAGATTGCCTCCGCTCCTGACTCCTGTTACAGACTTCAAAGCTTCACTCACATCTTCAGCCCCAGCCTCTCCCATATTTTATCTCTGTATTCCCGTCTGTCGAGTGATTTTTCTTGCATGTCCTACAATCAATCATATCTAATCTAGCTAGATGCCCAGATCTAAGCTCCTAGCAACAACCCCACCCTCCGTGCATGCTGGCTGTTGTCCTGATTGCTTAGATGGTGTGAATAGCCTCTCTCTCCTTCTAATCAATCCTGGCGCATCACTACACATCACTGGCTCTCATCAGACATATTCAGTTAGTGACAAAGCTTTTCCAATTCTCCCTTCAAAATGTGTCCTATCCCAGTCCTCCGTTTTGCTCCCATCATTAACTTTACCACTGGTGTCAACTTCTTTTAACCAATCACTCCAATTTCTCCAAGTTCTAATTTTTCTTTATGTCCCAGAGCCCGAAACTTAACATTTACTGCTGCTTTCATTACGTATTTCCACTAGGAGCACAGCTCTCAAGGACCACATCAAAATGTTCCTCTCCTCTTGTCCTAATTAAAATATCCCCCAACCTCAGTGCTGAAGCACCGCAAAATTTGCCGTGTGAATGGTAGTTCTCTCTACCAGCTGGGTTGTTGAATTTACTTCAAGTTTCTCTCCGATGAACATGTGTATAGTCCTTCATAGCAGAGAGGTGAGAGTGGCTCAGAGTTCACAATTTACATTTTATTAAATTTGGAAAGGCACTCAAATAGTTTTCTTCTGTGGTTCCAAATGTGAAGTATTGATCTGTTGGGAGCACACGAAACTCTCCGAGGGAAGCATGGTTTTGTAGTCCTTTGGCACTAAATTAGCACTTCTGTGCTCTATAATTCTCACCCTTTTCTCTTGCCAAGAGGTTAAAACCCAGGTTGATTTTGAGTTTCATCAAATTGTAATTAGTGTGGGGAGAATCAAGGTAGCTTAACCAAGTCTCACGTCATTTGTAAATGATACCATAAGAAGCTGTTTATTCTCCTTGCTGTAGACATGCAGAGTATTCCTGAAAGGAATGATTTACATTGCAAGCATTAATGGGTTAAGGAAAGATCAAACTTCTTCCTTTTTGTGGCAAAAATCACTAGAGACAGAAACACCGAGGGACAATGGTCTGAAAGGAACAGTGAAGACTGGTGGCCGTGGAGAAGGGCTAGCACCTGGCACCTTCTACCTCATTGGTTTCAGTGAACCAGCGGCCATGGGTCTGATGCCAGTGGGCATCTGTGGTGCGAATGGAGCAACATGGGATGGGGATGGAATGCAGAATTCTCTCAGTCATCTCTCACCATGTGTAGGGGTCTGGGTCGCACTGCTTAAAATCGGATGATTATACTGGCGATCACCTGAAATTCATAGAAAACAAATTTTTAAAGAAGAGTTCAGGTACTTTAACAGCATCTCGTTTTACCTCGTCCACGTTTCTCTGACTCAAGGAAGTCCTTCTAATAAAGGCAGGAGGTAGTGTGCTAGGATCCAGGAAACTTCTACTGCTGTTTATCTTCCCTATTGAAGCTGGGCGTCTTCGGTCGCCATGGTGACCCACACATATCTCTGCATCTGGTTGACCAGCTGCAGAAGTTTTTCTGGGGTGGGAGTGGATCGAGGAGGAGAATAGTGGAGACCAGGGAATACTTGGAAAGTATGCTTACGTGAGTGGGGGTCAGGTAAGAGGAAATACTGGATTCTTTGGAGTGCAGAAATGGGAGTATTGGGATGTGGCTAACCAGGAAGAAGACACAGTCCCTGTGTTAAGGCATTTATGGACAGGTGTCTGGGTGCATCCTGAGATGTGGCAAGCTGGCCTGTGAACCATCCACTGCCCACAACAAGAAATCCTGGATTGCAGACAAAATGAAATAACCCAATAGTTCAAAAGCATTTTCCTTTATTAATAATGCAAAAGCCCACTTATACTGAATAATTCACAAAATTAATACCCCTAGTTTGCAAAGGGCAGAGTTCAGGATATCCCAAGGGCTTCTAAAAGATTTTAGTGAGGATTTGACCTGCTACTACAGTATCATTGTATTAGTGGTTCAGCTCAACGTTGTATTCTTGTTTTTCATAGTTCGTATATCAAATTTTAACTGAAGCAAGGAGAAAGGGAAAAGGAGGTTTTTTCTCTAATTTACTCAACTATGTATTATGACTTGGTCATCTTTGCAGGTCCATTTCTGTACATCTTAATATTGAAATTGTCTTTCTACTCTTAGCCATATACTCTCTGAATAGACCTCTCTAGATACCTAGTTCCTTTATTCTATCACTTTTCTTCAGCGTACGGGGACTCCAGTAGACTCTGGTCTCCGTTGATTTCAGCTGCATTCCAAACTACTTACCCAAATCCATGTATTTTATCTATGCCTCCAGCCTGAGGTCAATCTGATGTATAAGGCTAGGTTTTATACTGCTAATGAACATTCCCTTGAAACCTCTGCCACACCCCAAACCATAAAGGCCCAAATGGAGTTTCTCATGTTATTCTCAGTGTTTATGTGCCTGTCCACATCACTAATGTTCTGCGGGCTTGGAATGTTAAATTTCAGTCATCTCAACCAATTCCCTCTTTTCATCCTGCATATTCAGTGAATCGCAAACTCTTCTTCCTGTAGGGACCTGCTATGCCCAGGCCCACCATATATATTTTTTAAATTTCAATCAAAATTTCTCTTAGCTCTAGATTCTGGCCATTTAAGACACAAGTCATTCTGTGTCTTCCTATCAGATAACATTTGCCAAATCATTAGAATCACTGTTACCATTTTTTCATGAAGATCCCAGAAATACAGACAGGTATCCTAGATCTGCAAAGATAGCAAAACTGTAATCTACAGTTAACTAGAGAGAAGACCTCATCTCCTTCCCCTTGCTTTGGTTAAAATTGGATATATGAACTATGAAAAACAAGAATACAGTGTCGAACAATGTTAGAATGTATTTTACTAGCAAGTCAAGCTAATCGGTAATCATGCTATGCAATGAGTGTGTGCATTTAGAAGGAGGCCAGACTTTCTCACATGAAAATCCTGACACTCCAAAAGATAGATAAAGTTGTAGACAGGGAAGAAACTATTTGCCAAAGGTTGAGTTTAATCTATACTGGACCTGGATTTAAGCAAGAGAAGAAAATTCAAGGAGAAAGATAAAAGTTTTTACTGCTTATTATCCAGAGGCCAAGAGAAAATCAGATTCTTTTTTTATTTGGTTGGTTTGTTGGTTTTTAAGCAATATGACAACATTAAGAAACCAAAGAATCTATGCTGAACAGCTAAGAGTGGTGATTAGTAACAAATACTTCCGCTGTTCATTTTAGAGTCCAGATGACACCAGGGAAGGATTATGAATAATTCAGAGCCAAGCAATAGTTTCTGATAGCCAATTATGTTACATGCTACATGCTAAACTCGTTCATGTGCACTCTACTTTTAAATTATTTTTATGATTTTAATTGTACATATTTATGGGGTACAATGTGACATTTCAACACGTCTTTGATGTATACTGACCACATTAGATAATTAACATATCTGTTTCCTCGTCATTAATCTGTTTCAAGACTGATTTTCTCTCTTCTGATTATTCATAAAAAATGTAACCGTTATTATGAGCTATAGTCCCTCTCTGTACTGTAGTGCATCAGAATTTATTCCTCGTGTCTCACCATTCTGGTACTTGTTACCTACTTCCTTTATCTCGACTGTTCCAACCTTCCAAGACTCTAGTACATGCATTCAGATCAACGTGTTCAGCTTCTACATGTGGAGAGAACATGAAGTATTTGTCCTTTCTGTGTAACGTATGTCATTCAACATGGGTCTCCCACTGCTGCCCATTTTCACATGCGTTCTCTAAACTAATCTTGACAACAGCCTTCCTGTGGATAATAAGTGGAGTGAAATGAATGTATACTATTGGACTATTACTTGCCAGACACCGTATAAAACTCTACTCACTCTGATTGCAATCTTTCCTTTAACCAATGAGATCACAAACCCAATAAATGACTTAAATTTGGATATTTTATATGTAAATGCAAGGCTTTCCCTTTTGTTTGACTCTCAGTGAGAGTCTTCCCCTAGCATTTGATTGTTTCCTACATTGGCACTAAGAAGAAATACTTTAAATTGAGTGTAAAGGTGAAAATTAAAACTGCCTTAAAGTACCCACTGTTACATTTTGTTCTATTTACCTTGCTCCCTAAATGGCTGTGTATTCTTGCACAAACACACGCATGCATACACGCACACATACTTAGCCAACACGGCAATGAATAATGTGTCTGTGTCATTTTTCACATAGATTACAGTTCTTAAAATGGGTTAAGCCATGGTGATGATTCAATTCTTGTACTTTTGCAAAATGACAAATGTGTGAGTTCGCTGGAGCCTTTTTACACTAGTAAAGGCAAGGAAACAACCCAGATGTACATCCATATATGTACATATACATGTGGGAATAAAAATATATCATTTTCCCGTTGCAATCACACTATATATATTACTTTAACCTTTTTATACTTAGTGAACAATTTATCTTGAATATATTTCCTTGTTTAAAAATATTGTTAAAACATGTGCTATGATTTCACAATTGTTTCTCTATATAATGTTCACTATTTCTCCATGTCATCCGAGCATTTTATGCTTGTTTAAGAATAATCTATTTAGGTATTTTAGATTAATTAAAAGTTTAATAGGTTTATGTCAAACAACCTTGAATATAAATTTTTAACCATGTCTTGTTTCCTTAGGATAATAAATAAACATATTTTTAAGTCAACATGTCACCAATAACCTAGTAATATGACAAAGTATGGGATATGTTTTCTCATAGTAAAAACTTTCATCTATTACTGTGACATACTGTAATTGATTTTGCTATCTTATTTCAGTACAATTCTGGATTGTATTTGTTTATATTTAATTTATATGCATACACATTCGTAAAGAAAATTTGTAATTTTTGTGCTAAACTGTTGACTTTTTATATTAAGATCATGACTTTTAAAGCCAAGTGAATAACACTGAGTTTTTTCTATTTGTTGAAACTGTCAGTACAGCACATGAGATATCTGTTGTTCGGAAATCTGAAGGAATCCAACCATATAAAGTATCTAGTAACTTCTGGGAGTTCTGCTGTAAGCATAGTGCTAGATGCTTGGCTTGTGTTACTTAACTGGCTGTCCAGCAAATCTGGGAAGAAGATACTATCTTCATTAACTTAAAGATAAGCTAACTGAGGTTTGGAGAGGTTGTAGATTTGGAGGGAGAGTTAAGATGAAAACTTTGGCAGGTTGGTGCTGGAGTCCAAATTCTTAACAGCTGTGTATGTCACCTTCTTCTGCTCGGTGACGAGATCTTTGAATTTGGATTCATTCAAGCTTTCTCACTATAATTTCATTTTTTTGTGGAAAAATATCTACCAGATATTTAAAATTTTACAACAGAAGACTTCTACCCTCTAAAAAGTTTTCTCTCTCTCTATGAAGGCAGACTCTTTTTTCTTTATTTTCTGTGTTGAATTTTCTGGATTAATTATTCCCATTAATATTCTTTTCTAAACAACTACTTAACACACACTGATTCTGTATTTGCATATTCAAATAATTATTTTATGCTTTTGGGTTTGCTAGCTCCTACCCCTGTCATTTTCTTTGGTTTGTTTATTACTGTGTTTTGATTTCTTGGCTTGAATCTTCAGTCCATCAATTTTCCCTCTTTCTGTGAAGGAAAAGCTGAAGTCTTCAGCTCTGACTCTGTCTCTGGCACTTAACCATGAGCATCAGTGCACAACATCCTAAATGATCTGTAATTGCAGCCTTTGTTTCCTCTTTAACCCAAGAGTTATTTAGTAGAGTGTCGTTAAACTTTAAAGTGTTTGTGCTTGTTGATTTGAACTTTTGCCATGAATTTTCAGTTCTTTTGCACCATGGTCGGAGAACGAGCCATTCCAAATTTTGCTGTTTTTGAGCTTTTTCAGATTTCCTTTGTGGATTAATATAAGACCAATTTTTATAAATATTTTATGAGTACTTAGAGTACAGGTAAATTTTTACTTTAGAGTACTGAATTGACATCTATCTATTAAAGCAGACACATGAAATACGTCATTAAGTTTCTCTAAACTATAATTCATTCTTTGTCTACTTAATCTGTCGAAGACTTGAGGGTGTATATTAAGGTGTCTCACTACTCTGATAGCCCTGTCATTTTTAATTTGTATTTGATGTAGAAATGTTTTTCATATCTACATTATAAAGCACAGAAAGGGCTCAAAATGTCTATGTCTTCTTTGTACATGGTACCCTTTATTAACATTAAGTAAGTCTGTCTTGTTTAAGTTT